TTCCTTCACCTTCACCTCCCTAAGCAAGTAGACCTCATTACACAGCACTGAATCCAGAATTTTCTGTTCCCTCGTGGGCTGCCCCACAAGCTGCTCCAAAAAAAAAACATCTTGCAGACTTTCCACAAGTTCTCTTTCATGACAACCACTACCAGCCTGATTTTCTCAGCCCATCTGCATAGTGAAATCTCCATGATTATTGTAATAGTGCCTTTCTTGCATGCCTTTTCTATCTCCTGATTTACTTTCTGCTTCACATCCTGACTGCTGCTAGGGGGTGTATACTCTTTTGTTTTTTCCTTTGCTCTAGCCACACAGATTCTGTGTCTTCCAACTCTATCACTGCTTGCTATCAATTTAATTTCATTTTTTTACTACAAGGCACACACCCCCCCACACCTCCCGCCCATCTGCCTGTCCTTTTGATAAGATGTAACTCCTTGGATATTTAGTTTCCAATCCTGATCCCATGTGGGCTTTGTCTCAGTGATACCCACAACAATGTACTTGCCAATTTCAATCCGCACTACAAGCACATTTTACCTTGTTTTGTCTGCTGCGTGCATTTAATTTCAACATCCTTGGTCCTGTGTTGACTGCCCCCTTAGGAAAGTTAACTCATTGTCTGCTGTGCCTGAAGTTAGATTCCTAACCCTTTCCATACTCTGTCCTATTACGTGTTCTGCAAACTTTAATAACCTCTGCTGGGCCACTCCTCTTCTTTCAATAATTCTCCATGCAACTAAACCCACTTACCACTATTTAATTTTAAGCCCTATCCTCAGCTCGTTATGTGATTTGCCAGGACTCTGGCTCCAGCATGATTCAGGTGGATCTCAGTCCCATCAGTACTTGTACCAATGTCCCATGAATTTAAATCCATTTTTCCCACACCAATCTTTGAGCCATGTGTTTACCTCTTTAATCTTGTTGACCCTGTGCCAATTTGCTCGCGGCTCATGTAGTATTCTAGAGATAATTACACTTTCAGTTCTCCTCTCTAATTTAGCCCCTAGCTGCTCATATTCCCTCAGCAGAAACTGTTTCTGCTTTCTATGTATGTTGTTGGTACCAAAGTGGGCTGCAACAACTGGATCTTCTCTTCCCACTCCAAGTTCCTGTTCAACCCAGATGAGCTATCCTGAACCTGGACACCAGGCAGACAGCAATTGGAACTTTCGTTCTTGGCCACAGAGAACAGTGTCTATTCCCCTGACTGTACTATCCCCGATTACAACACATTTCTTTTTCTCCCTTTGAATGGTTCCCTGTACCATGGTGCAATGATCAGTTTGCTTATCCTTCCTATAGCCCCCAACTCTTCCTCATGAAGCAAGAATTTCAAACCTGTCGGACAAGCTCAAGGACTGATGCTTTCAGCACTATCTCCTGAATAGCTCTAGCTACCTCGCTCGTAGTCGCTCTCTATGCTTTGTAGATGGTTGAAAGACAAAGTCCGGACTTATTACAATATTCTGCAGTTGTTTTGATGCGTGCAGCTCCAACAGTATTCAAATTTAAACACCTTGTTGTCCAGTTTAAACATTCTCGCTCTCCCCCTCTTAAAGGGCAGTCATAGATGAGCAATAAATATTGGCCTAGCCAACCATGTCTTGGGAGTGCATTAAACATAAACCTTGGGTTGCAATGCATACCAACTTCAATTCATTTAATGGATGTTGGCTATTGCCCTTGAGATGGTGATAGTGAATAGCCTTCTAGAACTGCTGCAGCCCATTTGGTGTCGATAGATTCACAATGCTGTAGGAGAGGGAATTCTGCTACAAAATGTGCTGCAGCAACCTGAAGGCTTCTTCAGCGGCCCTTCCCAAACTTGCAAGTGGGCAGTGCAGCTGACACATGGGAATATCTTCACCACCTTCAAGTTCCCCTCTAAGTTACATACCATGCTAACTTGCAAATATATTGCTGTTGTTTGATTGAGTCAAAATCTGAACTCCATCTCTGAAGACCTTCACCATAGGCTGCAGATTTCAAGAAGGCCGACTTTTCAAGAACAGTCAGATGGTCAGTAAATAACTGCATGCTTTGATTTCTTTTAAAAATAATATTAAGTGTGAACCACCTTGCTGTGGGAGTGAAGTACAGATCAGGCCAAGGAAGAATGGCAAGTTTCCTTTGTTAAAGAACATTGAATGGACCATTTGGCTTATGATGACAGTCCAACAGTTTTGTGGTCATTTTAAGTGCTGAATCATAGAAAAGTTTCATCACAGCAGCATACCATTTAACCCATCGTGTCTGTGCCAGCCAGGAGTAAAACTACCAAACTGGACAGCGAATTCCAGACATCCGCCACCCTCTGGGTAAAGAGGCTTTTCCTCATGTCCCCGCTAATCCATCTACAGATTGCATTAAATCTGTTCCCTCAGTAATTGACCTTTTGCTTGGGGAAGCAGGTCTTTCTTGTCTACCTTTATTTCGTCCCCTCATAGTGTTGTATACCTCAATTGTCCTCCCTCAGCCTCCTGTGTTCAGGAAAACAGCCCCAAACTTATCCAATCATTCCTTGAGGTTGCAATTTTTAAGTGCTGTCAACATATTGCCTCATGAAATACTGCTTTATTTTTGTGATACCGTATGCTTTCAGCTTGAATATTAAACAGTCTCATCTTGTATCTGTCATTCTTTCAACCAACAGTCCCAGATAGTGAAGAAAAATTGGAATACATTTGTTCAAGTTAGTGAAAAATGAACAACTAATTCCTGAGTCGGTTGATACCAGTTTCTGTTTAAAAAGAACTACAAATGCTGTGCATAATGAGCTGTTCATGATTATTGATGGGAACGCTTGATGCATATATTTTGTTGCTAAAATATGATAACTACCTGCTAGATTATATCCAGAAGATGACTTGGATTATATATGTGCATTAGAGGGTAAAATTAAATTCTCCAAGATTTGCTGATCACCATATCCATTGCTCACAATTGGACTTTGCTGTGGACCTCTGACTACCACATGGAATATTCCATGCATGTTTCAGTGGCTGCAGATGAGCTATTGTATTTTACACTGTATTTGCAATCGAGGAAACAGTTATTTTAGATTTGACGACTGTTGTGTGGTTCTCCTTCGTAGATCTCCTCTCCTACATTGTACCTCTTTGGTTGTCTCTTTCAGTCCATGAAAGATGTTTAATGAAGAAGAACAATAATTGCTATGACGGGCCTTTAGTTTTCAAAGGATGCTTCCTCCAGATGTCACAAAGACCTGCAACAGCATAAATTATAAAGGCAAAAAACTGGAAACATGAAATAACATAAATCTCTTAGAACAAGCAGGCAGGTTAGCAACGTATGTGGGGAAGTAGATAGTTGCTAGCTTTTGGGCTTTCCTATTTTTCAGAATGGAAAAATAAAGGATAGACAAGCATATTAATAAAATCTGAAAAGTTGGATTGTAAACTAATGTACGTAGAGAGGAAGTGCCAGTGATAAGATTGCTGAATGACATGCTAGATCATCTCAATCAAGTACTGGAAATTTAAAAAGAGAAGCAAAGGATGTACTAGTATCATTACCATTATATGAGGTACAACACAGTTTCTTAAATAAGATAAATTATTAGACAAGCACCTTTCAGTACCTTTGGGTCCAAAATAACCAGCTTGATTTAGAGCTTCCAGGTATGCAAACACATTTGATTTTTAGAAACACAGCTGCTGTGAATTTGTCCTGGGGTGCCATTGGTTTTTGGCTCTGAGGCCTGTTTCTAACATTCATTTTTAAATAAGCATTAGAAGTAATGGAAATTTAAATAGGATGGAATATTATAGGCGTTTAAAATTGTGTTTGAAATGATGAAAATTACTGTATTGTCCGATGTTAAAAAATGAGAATTGGGGAGGGTATAGATCTGTCCATTTGCTATGATTGTTCTGATCATGCTCAACACCGCCCCCCCACCCCATTCATTCATTTCCTCCCGCACAAGTATAGAGTACCAGGCAATCCTGAATGGACTCCCTCTAGTATTGTACAGTTTGCTCAGTTTTCTCTGCACTGGAGAGGATAGATGCAATCGAGTGACTGCATTGCTAAACATCCTCTTTTGTTCACAAGTGTCACAGACAAAATTTATATTTTTTTTATTCACATGATCAGTATGTTTGCACGTAAGTGATATGTTTTCTTACCCTCCGTGGTTGTCCCAATTAAATAGCTCCAGCAGAGGGCTTTTTGAGAGTTTAAAATCTAAATAATCTTTATTTTCTGTCACTTAACCCATTCTCCCACTGATGTATACAAAAGTTTAGATACAAAAAACAAGAAGGCAGCCCTCTGAGTAAAGAGATTCCTCCTAGTCTTAGTCCTAAATGACCTATCTTTTATTCTGAGACTTTGTTCTCTGTTTCTAAACCATACAACCACAGAAACAACATTTTTGCAGGTAGCTTGTTTATTCCTTTTTAAGAATTTTTGACGAGGAGCAAAAATAAAGTTGCTGGAAAAGCTCAGCAGGTCTGGCAGCATCTGCGAAGGAAAAAAACAAAGTTAACGTTTCGGGTCCGGTGACCCTTCCTCAGAACTGACGTTGGCTGGAAATCCGTATCCTAAATTTCATATCCGAAGTTTCGATGAGGCCTCCTATCGTTCCTCCCAGTCTCTTCAATCTATCCTCGGAGGATAACCCTCCCATCCAAAGAATTAGTCACATTAACACAAGTGTGACCCCAGGCTACACCTTCCATTCCCGTTCTGATCTTATTTGTTTAAACTGTTCCAGCACCCATCACTGTAAGCTTCAGAAATGCACCTGCTTTCATCTGAGTTCTCTAGTCTGACATTGAATAAATTTATACTCTTGTATCAGGCTTGATGCTAATATGGCTTAGGGTTTGTTGATCTTTGGAATCGTAACTCCGTTTGTATGTACAGCTCTTTTGCTTTCCTGCTCTTCAACCTTCTTATCTCTGATGCATGGCATGAACCCAAAACATGGAGGGTTTTTTACAATGATTTTGTTCTCTCCACAGGTGCTGACTGGCCTATTGTGTGTTTCCAGGGATGTGAGGCGATTCGACATTTGCTCATTAGAATTCCAGTTGTCTATGTCGTAACGTAGGCCCTGGGACTTGATTGGATATCCAAGACAACACATCAAAATATTTTACCAGGTATGTAAGATGTGAATTTTTCCACCAATTCGTGTCAGAGTTGTACATCATGGAAACAGACCCTTTAGTCCAACTCATCCAAGCCAACCAGATATCCTAATTTAATCTAGTCCCATTTGCCAGCATTTGACCCATATCCCTCTAAATTATTCCTGTTCAAGTACCCATCCAGATGCCTTTTAAATATTCTAATTGTACCAGCCTCCACCACTTCCTCTGGTAGCTCATTCCATATACAACTGACCCTCTGCATGGAAAAAGTTGCCCCTGAAGTGTGTCTCAAATATTTTTTCTCTCTCCTTAAAATTATGCCTTCTAGTTTTGGACTCCACTACCCTGGCTATTCACCCTATCCATGCCCCTCATGATTTTATAAACCTGTAAAAGGTCACCCCTCAGCCTCTGTTCTCCAGGGAAAATAGCCCCAGCCCATTCAGCCTGCCCTGTAGCTCAAACCTGCCAACCAATCAACAGCCTTGTAAATCATTTCTGAACTCTCAAGTTTAGCAACATCTTCCCTAAAGCAGGGAGGTCAGAATTGAATGCAATATTCCAAAAGTGGTCTAATCAATGTCCTGTACAGCTGCAACATGACATCCCAACTACCTATACTCAATGCAGTGACCAATAAACGCAAGTGTACCAAATGCCACCTTCACTACCCTGCCTACCTGCCACTCCACCTTCAAGGAACTATGAACCTGCACCCCAAGGTCTCTTCGTTTGACAATACTCCCCAGGACCTTACCATTAAGTGTATAAGTCCTGCCCTGATCTGCCTTACCAAAATACAACAGCTCACATTTACCTAAATTAAACTCCTTAGCCCATTAGCCCATCTGATCGAGGTCTCATTGTACTCTGAGATAATCACCTTCACTGTGCACTACACCAGCTGTACAAGTTATACGCCTTTTAAGTAATGGCTGAGATTTTGCAGTGGTATAATGTGAATCTGTCAATTTTCGTTCACTTAGCAATGTTTGGGGTCAGCACATGCATCAGTATAATGCATGTATGCAGAAATTGCTGTCAGTAATTTTAGGTTTCAGAGAGGACTCTGAGGTGTTCTCAAACAATTTCAACTAGAAAATAATTGAATTGATGAGAACTTCATCTCCTCATTCCACCCTTTATTGATTAAGGGTGACAATTGTTTCTAAGCTCCTGAAAAAGCTGCACCTTGTTAAATGACGTATGTTTAAATTTTAACCGTCTGCTAACTTCATGACTGCTGTTAAGTGCCCTAATCTTTTTGATGTCTTGAAAACTAATTTTATGTTTGGAATGTAAGTTTTATAATTTCATAAATGTTTCAAGAATTTTTGAAGTTTTTGAAATTCCTGATGAAGATTCCTTCGTGCTGTGTGAGAATACCTTGGTATGATTTGCTTCTCGCCTGTTTGTTGACATGACAGCTGCTGCTGTATATGCCCAGTCTTTACCTTAACTTGACACCAGATTTAAACTGTCAAAACTATCAAATATTGCTAGATTTTTGTGGATTTTAAACAAAGTCTGACAAATGTCATTTATTTGACCTCAGATGAAAAAATTCTGACCAGTGAAACAGGCTGCTTGGTAGCAATCTATAATTTTAGAATCCTTAGTTGGAATGTGAATGCTATTCCCTGTCTTAAACAATAGCAGTACTGCATGCAATACCAATCTCTGGATCTAGACTAAATACTTGCTACTCACAAAGTCCTTTGTTCTGTCATGTTCACAAATGAGTTGAAATATGCAAGGTTCATTTCGTCTTTTGTTTCAAGTATTTGAAACAATCTTGTGTCTATTGCGTTATTTCGTATTGTCTAACAAAATGCAGCATACATAACTAATCCAGAAAAGTTTGCGATTAGTCAACCCAATTTTTTATTAGACACGGATTTTGAAAATAATTGGCTATTCAGGCAGGAGATGTCTTTTACTTAACAGCTTGTAAGTGGAGATTGGATCAATTTGGACCAACAAACGTTGGTGTCATTCAGTCTAAATTAACATTCAGTTAAGCACTTTCTTTGGCCAACTTAAATGCTATGAGGTATACAGCAGAATTTTTTTATTCTTTCTTGGAGTATTGACTCAGGCAAAGACATTTATTGTCAGTTCCTAATTTCCCTCAAGGAGACATGGTAAGCTGCAACTCTGAACTGCTTAGTCCATCTGGTACGCCCACAGAACTGTCAAGAAGGGAGTTTCATGATCTTGACCCAGTGACAGTGAAGGAGCGCCGATATGGTTCCAAGTCAGGATGATATGTGGCTTGGTTTTAAACTTGCTGATGGTGGTAATCCCATGCATCTGCTTCCCTTTTCCATCTAGATGATAGAGGTCACAGTTTGGGAAAGTGCTGTCAGAGAAGTTTTGACAAATGTGGATCAATTAATCTTGTAGATGGTACAGTCTGTTGCCTCTGTGCATTAATGGTAAAAGAAATGAATGTTGAAGATGGTGGGTGAGGTACCAGTTGAGTGGGCTTCTTTGCCCAAGATAATGTTGAGTGTCTTGAGTGTTGTTGGAACTGCACTCATTCAGACAAATTGAGAGTATTTTATCATACTCCTGATACATGCCTTAACTATGGTGAACAATCTTTGGGTGTCAAGAAGTGAGTTTCTCATCACAGAATTTCCAACTATGCCTTGTTCTTTTGTAAACAGTTTTTAGATTGCTGGGCCAGTTCAGTTTCTGGTCAGTGGTAACTCCAGGATGTTGATGTTGGGGGATTCAGTAGTGGTAATTCAATATCAAGGAGTGATGAATGGATTCTCTCATTGGAGATTGTCATTCCCCCTGGCATTTGTGTGACACAAATTTTATTTGGCATTTATAATCCCAAACTGTCTTTTTGGGAAGGAAATCTGCCGCCCTTACCTGGTCTGACTGACATTTGACTCCAGATCCAAAGCAATACAAGTGTGTTTTACACATAGATAGTAAGAGAAGAGCATTCAGAATGCCTACTGTCAGTGATTTTTGTGTTGTTGAAGTCATGAATGATATCTTTTTTTTATTTTGGTGATGCCCGAAGTTTTGTGTTGTAAATGTTCATTCTGTTTATTTAAAATCACTTATTGCTATGAATGCAACAGATAGTTTGGAAGAGAGATGCTGACTGCAATTTGTTAACTTTGAGTGGATGAAGGATGTGTACAAACTCCATTGGAAATTTTAAAATCCTCAGGAAGTTTGAACTGTTTTCCAGCAGTGGATGCTGGAAATGTTTTAGTCTGCTGAGTGTCAAACTTGTCATGTAAACAGAGATAGTAGGAACTGCAGATGCTGGAGAATCTGAGACAACAAGGTGCAGAGCTGGATGAACACAGCAGGCCAAGCAGCATCATAGGAGCAGAAAGACTGATGTTTCGGGCCTAGACCCTTCATGCCCGAAACGTCAGCCTTTCTGCTCCTATGATGCTGCTTGGCCTGCTGTGCTCATCCAGCTCTGCACCTTGTTGTCATGTATACAAGATCCTCGCTTTGAATGGATATCCCTGCAACTTCATCCACAAATGCCTACAAAACAGACA